ATTGAATAAATAACTCGTTAAAAGCTAAAGTTAAGAGTAAAAATTTTAAAAACAATTTTTTATTGAAGATTTAGCTTTAATTTCGCTTTTCGTCGCTATTGAAATTGAAACCCTAATTAAAACTCAAGCGGGGCTTGAGTTTTTACTTTCTTTTCCTACCACGCGTATTTTGACGTATTTGAAATATTACGTAGTTCGGGACCCCTAATGTCTTTTTAAGAGTGACTTTAAGTGAAGGGGTCATAAAGAATGGTGATTTTAAAAGAAAATAATAATTGTGTGCAAAATAAATGTAAACAAAACTACGGAGATTGGTTGCGTATATGAAGAAAGATTATGCCGAATTAAGGTGTCGAATAAAGATGAAAAAAAATATTTCTAAATTCTTATACAAACATAGAATGTAAACACTGAATGTAAAAGGCCGAAGGCTTAAAAACCATCCACAGGAACTAGCCCAAAATCCGCCACAAGAGCGGCCTTTAGGCTAGTCTCTATCTATAAAAGGCAGGATGTGTGTGTGTGTGTGTGTGTGTGTGTGTGTGTGTGTGTGTGTGTGTGTGTGTGTGTGTGTGTGTGTGTAACGAATGCACGGCCGCAATTTTCGACGGATTTGCACCAAAATTTACATGCACTTCCCAACCCCCATCGATAGTGGAAATAATCGATTTTTTCATGCTTCTACGGCAGTTTTCATGTAGTTTGCGGTCATCTTCTACTGGCCAGAGTGAGAGCCTATAGCTGGCTGTCACGAATAGGCAGGAAGATTTTATTGGCTAGCGTGGGAGCCAACAGCTGACTGACACGAATGTTAACTAGCATGCTAGCATGCAAAAAAAATCGATAGCTGCATTCGTCACAAGTGGGAAAAGTCTAAATCTGCATGGCACTTTACTCCAATTGGCTCATTCGCTTGCTTAAACTCAACGTTGATTCTGATTCCGCAGAACTGGGTTGCGTGTGAAAAAGTATTTGTTGTTAACATTCTTTTTTCATTCGGTTTTTCCAGTTACGAGTCCTTTTTTAAAGCTGATCGTTTTGTATTCATTTTGTTTAGTTCTTTTTTCGTAACAGATTTAATGTTTAGTATAGAGCTTAGAAAAAATTGGCAGTGTAAGATAGGCAAGAAGTAAGGCATGTAGCAACATCAACACGGCAAAGGGCACTCCTTTAAAGGCAAGGAAGGGCAAAAATATTTTAAGTCAAGTGATAGCGATTGCTGTATGAGACGTACGATTTTTGAATCAAGCACGGGCACCGCCGAGATATGCTGCTAGTTTATAATAAAATACACAGTAGGTGGATGTAATTAATAATTATTTACAAAAGGTATTTGTATATATCGGCAATATTTGTTTTTTGGATTCCGCGAAATCAAACGTCTTTTGTCTCAAAGACACGAAATCCACCAAAATTGATTAAAAAATAAAGTTTTCTCTCCTTTATTAATGAAAGACAATACGTTTTTATTTTCATAATTTCTGAATATATATATATATGTAATAAAGTCAACTAAAATATGATATATTAATTAACACCTTAAAATTTATTACCGGGTAAGTCTAGTTGGCACCTTTCACCGGAAATTCGAAAATAAAGTTTTGAAACGGAACAGTTCATTTCTATACTTTAATATCGTGAAAAATTAAATATTATTGAAATATAAATACGATATTGAGACTTTTCAAATAAATATGCATATGGATGGTTTTAATATGCTGTCGTATTATACTCAAGGATGTAAATTATTCCGATTCAAGTTGAGAGCTGATGCCATCGGGAAGGTTTTTATTGAAAATCGAAAACAAATTAGGACCACGGATAGAGCCCTGAGGAACAACTGCATTAGAAACAAGAGTGGTTATTCAGGATAACTTTCATTTCACGATTTCATAAGATAGACTGGATCAATTCAAAATATTATCCAGAGACATCGTAGCTTTCCAAAGACCTGCATGCCAATCCCTGTCGATCGCTTTCGAAATGTCCAAAGAAACAGCCGAACTTCACCATTCTTATTTAAAGCTTGACAGATTATTTCCCGAATGATCGTCAATAAACAAGCCATTGATCTAGAGAAACGAAAACCATATTGATTTTCTGAAAGAAGGCCTTCCGATGTGAGATGCTTAACTAATTTAGCATTGATTATGGCACCTAGTAGTTTGCCAAAAAAGAGATAGAACACTTAGACCGATAGTTGGAAGAAGTTCTTAAAAACTGGAATAACAGATGAAGATTTTCAACAAGCAGGAAAGCAAGAGGCATATAGCCACTTATTGTACACTTTAGAGAGAACAAGACCAGATCAGGGGTACCCTGCTTGAGGACTATTACAGTGATATCACTAGGTCCATATTCTCTGTGGGCATTCAGATTAGAGATCATAGCAGAAATCATTGGTGTTATATGCATATCATTCAACAGTGACTCAGTTCTAAGTGAAACGTTAGGCAAGGATACTCCAGCCAAATCAAGAGCAGAGTTTAAAGAGAATTTACCGGTGAAATATTCAGCTTAACACCACAATTGATTGAAGAGAGGAGGAATAGAAGACTTCATCATATATAATACACTATTACAGAACCGCCAATAATCACGAGAGTCAAAGTAGTTAGATGCAATAGGGAACTTCATTCTCTCAGCAAACAAAGACTTAACTCCTTCGAGGACACGTTTACATTCATAGGTGTCTATTGTGATTAGAAATGTCACGCTGGAATAGCCGGAAATAATGGTTCCTGTGAGCTGTAGCGGCGGAACATGCTGGTGTGAAGCAGGGAGTAGATTGAGTTTTCACTTGGTATTTCAGAGAAGGAATTAATTAAATTAATCTATGCAAGCATTGATCCAAGAAGAAACCTCAATGGCGCAATTATCAATATGAAGGTTAAATATATCAATCTAAAGGGGGTGTCTCGAAGAAAGTCACGATCATAACTTCAGAACGTAGGCGATCATGGCTCTCCACAATTTCCTGTCCTTTGTAGCTCTTAATAAATTTTGTCTTTTTGTTATCTTTCCTAAGCGTTTTTCCGCTATTCATTTAGTCAAGCTAATTCTTCTTAATCTATATGCCGTGTCTCTTCAGGACGTTGACGATCATGGCTCTCCACAATTTCTCACCCTTTGTAACTTTCAATATTTTTGTCTTTTTCTATCTGTCCTAAACATTATTCAGCTATCCATTTACTGTAATACATTATGTTGGTTATGCGGTGTTTACCTCTGTACATTTTACCTTCACACTGTTCTGTGAGTATTAGATTTTCCAAGTCTCCTTTCCTCATTATGTGACCTAGAAATTTTAACTGTCCTCTTCCTGATATTACTTATAAGTGTCTTTTTTCATTTTCTCTAAAAATTCGACTTTTCTCACAAGTTTGATCCAAGATATCCTCAGCAACCTTCTGTAGAAATATATTTCTGTTGATTAACGTCTCTTTTTCATCTTTGAGGAGACCATTAACTGCCATATAGGAGATTAGATATTACATAGCCGTCCAACACTCTTTTCTTTGTTTCTAAGGACACTCGTCAGTAGAACCACATCTCTGTCGCTTCAAGTCTCTTCTTCATCTGTGAGGAGATTGTCCAGCATTCAATGCCATATAGGAGATTAGATATTACATAGCCGTCCAACACTCTTTTCTTTGTTTCTAAGGACACTCGTCAGTAGAACCACATCTCTGTCGCTACAAGTCTCTTCTTCATCTGTGAGGAGATTGTCCAGCATTCAATGCCATATAAGAGATTAGATATTACATAGCCGTTCAACACATAATTCTTTGTTTCTAAGGACACGTATCATTAGAACCACATCTCTGTTGATTAAAGTCTTTTCTTCAACTGTACGGATATTGTCCAGAATCCTCTGTCATATAGGAGATTAGATATTACATAGCCGTCCAACGCTCTTTTCTTTCTTTCTTTCTAAGGACACACGTCAGTAGAACCACATCTCTGTCGCTTCAAGTCTCTTCTTCATCTGTAAGGAGATTAGATATTATATAGCAGTCCAACACTCTTTTCTTTGTTTCTAAGGACACTCGTCAGTAGAACCACATCTCTGTCGCTTCAAGTCTCTTCTTCATTTGTGAGGAGATTGTCCAGCATTCACTGCCATATAGGAGATTAGATACTACTTAGCCGTCTAACACTGCCTTAACCGGGTATTGAACTTCATTCTTTGGTCCTGTCACTGGATCTAACTAACGCCTTTGGATCTTGTCACTGGATCTAACTAACGCCTTTATTCCCTGTGCCATGTGTCCTTCAGGACATTTGTGCATGAATCTCTGGGTATTATAAACCTAATGTCTTCAATATGAGCTCTGGTAAAAACATGAATGATAACAGCAAAAATTACAATATGAGCCCTGGTAAAAAATGATTGCTGAAGACATTAGGTTTGTCTGCAGGAACCAGTTTTTTTTCCCAGTGCTCATATTGCAATTTTTGCAGTAGAGAACTTGGAGAGGGTAATTAACAGGAGATAACTGACAACTGACATCCATTAAAACATGGCACGTGGAACTAGAACAGTCTACCCCAGTGAGCGAAATAAAGGGTTCAGTTCGACATTCCAACTACGTGAAGAAGGCCGGAGCATACAACGGCCGAAATTTGCGAGACATCGTTCAGTAACCTGAAGCTGATTGTGTGCTATTTGTGAGCATCCATTGGCCAAGCTGTGGTGTGTGACCTCACATGCTGATTGCAGAAAGAGAGAAAGAGATCAAACATGGCACGTGGAACTAGAACAGTCTACCCCAGTGAGCGAAACAAAGGTTTCAGTTCGACATTCCAACCACCTGAAGAAGGCCGGAGCGTACAACGGCCGAAACGTTGTGATAAATATGGCGACAAAGATGAGAACAATAGTCCGAATAATGTAAATAATGTACATATTACCTCATCTCAGAAATATAGACAGATATTGAGCACACCAATATTGCACACATCTTCTCATCTGTAAATTTACAGGAATATGTGTTTGGCTAGGCGCGAATGATCTCTGCTGTTAAAGATATAAGGGGAGTCCTTTTATTCGATGGAAAGCATTCCAATGTTCTTGGGAGACGTGTACCAAAGAAATAGTCGGAGACAAGATATTGGTAAAGCATGGCAGCTTATGGCAACTGAACCCTCGTGAGTATTTTGTTGGAACGAAATTTGGATTATAGGATTTCACATTCTGGGTGTCGGCTAAGCCTCATTGTTGATTGTAACATAGATTGGGATTTAATGGTATTAGCCAGAGTCCTTTGGGGAAGCTAAGGATTTACTGCAGAATAAACTTGGTTGCGTAGACTTAAGCAATATTGACAATGATTCTTCTGTACAAAGCCTACACAAATATACCTATTGCTTCATGCCTCTCCACACTTTCCCCTCATTTTTTTTAGCTCTTAGTAAATTTTATCTTTTTTATTTCACTTAAACGCTCTTATGGCATTCATTTACACACTCTTGTCATTTACATTATGTACCGTTTTTCTCTGTCCTTTTTGCGTTCAATATGTCTTGTGAGTGTCCAATTTTCCAAGCCCTCTTTCCTCATTACGGGCCTTAGAAATTTCAACTGTTTCTTTCGTTAAAACTGTTTTTGTTTCTATTATATCTAAAAACAAAATCGTCGTGGCTCACATATTCATATTATCAGCATCCCTCTGGAGAAGATGACACCGTGTTGATGGTCGATTTGGAAAGGAAACTACAGGAATTCCTAGACAAGTTAATAGAAAATAGCTAGAAAAAGGGACTAACCAACAATTGAAAGATGACGGAAAGTTTGGTCATCAGCAAGAGACGCAAGTTTCAAATTGAAGATATAAGCCTCAAGCTAGAGAAAAAGTTCAAATATCTGTTGTCTCTTTATGTACCAGGAGATTGTCCAGCATTCACTCCCATATAGAAGGACTGATATTAGCAGTTCAGTACTCTTTTTTTGTTTTTAACGAAATCTTCCCGTTTCTTAATACTTTGGTTAGCTTTTCCAAGGCACCTTTCACTTTCCCAATGAGACTTCGGATTTCGATATCACACTTTTCGTCCTTTGTGTTTTATCACTTCCGAGATATTTAAATATTTAAAGAGAAATATAATTTGATAGAAAATATTCTTAAAATATTTAATTTATTTACGTATGTATTTTGGAATGGAACATTTTTTAAAATGTTTTGTTTTTCGATTTTTTTTAACTGTTTGTAAATATTTCTAGAATAAAACCAAAATAGAAAGCTATATTATTGCGTGAATGAAAACTTCAGTGATGGATTTATTGAGAAAAAAAAAAACATCGGAAATAAACAACAAAATATTTAAATGATACATGATCTAAGAAAGCGTTATGCACAAGTAAAGGTTATCTCCCTTTAATTTTGCAACATTTGATTTTCTGGTGAAAGGAACGATTTCGCGAAGATTCTGTTAAAACCTTTCGGTGAGCCAATTCCCTCGTTGTCTGACGCGGTTATTTATGAATCATAATTGGTGAGTTCGAAACTCAACCTCCTATTTGGAACGGAAAACCAATTTATTTGACATTCTGTCAGTAGGGAAGTCATATCCGAACACAGCACAAATGTCTCGATCAACTTTGGGAGCTTTGCAAACTTGATTAAAAGCAAAGTGAAGAAGAGGTCAAACATGGTCATTCTTGTAACTTGGCATTCCATATCAATGGGGTGACTAATCGGAAATAAAATGCCGCTAACGTTAGACTATATATTCACATGATGACAAGATTTACTAAGAAGCAACAAAATTCTACGAAAGATTATTCTTCGAGATCATTCGCAGAACGTCAGAAAAGACGAATAAATATATGTAAAAAACTAAGATACACACACACGTATATATATATATATATATATATATATATATATATATATATATATATATAAAGAAAAAAAAGAACAGTAAGATATATAATCCGGTGTTCTTATTGATATTTTTTATTTTTATTTTTACATAACAGTGCTCAATGTAAATTTACAGAGCATAAATATTATAAATTAACTGATTGAAAATATGTTTTTTCGCTACACAGTAATAACCATGTTTCAAATATGGAAGCTAAAAAATTTAAATTTAATTATATAATTAGTTCCGTTTCATCTTCAAGCGAATATTAGAATAACCTATTTTAAAATTTAATGGGTTTTAAATGCACATATAAATTCCTAATTTACTGTTTCCAAGGATACAGAGAAATTCAATCATTCAGAGAGGGGCGGTTGTGTGGTCATTTTTATTATATATATATATATATATATATATATGTGTGTGTGTGTGAGAGTGTGTATTTGGACATGCAAAATTGAACATATATATAGACAGAAAAGATACATGGAAACACATATAAAATTTTGACAAATAGATAGGCAACGAACTGATTATATATATATATATATATATATATATATATATATATATATATATATATATGTAACGGTTTAACAAAAAAACTTTTACAAATTTTGGGGGCGGGATCTTCATGCCAAAACAAGGAAAAAGTCCATATATATATATATATATATATATATATATATATATATATGTGCCCAAAAGGCCATCGTTGCACCTCAACACAGCAACTCATAACAAATGTTGAAAATGTCCCCCGCTTGCTTCTAAACACGCATGTAAACGTTTAAGGTGTATATTATTAACTGGTGGACACTTTCAAATACTCCTACACAGTGTCGAATGGTTTCATAGGTCCCCATGACACATTGATGGGGCGTCTGTGAATTATTGATGTCTGATGCATAAAGCAATTATTTTAGGCAACACCAACGGATAGATGTCGAGGGAACGTGCAGGATACGGAACCGGTTACCCCCTACCTATCCATCTTCCATGGTAGATACAAGCCAGTGGATCGCGAACAATGTGTCAAAAATGGGCTGGAGCCCCGTCCTTCATGACCCACATGCGTCTTTGCAGGTGTACATCCTCTAGCAGGTCTGGAAGTGTCTTCGAAATAAAGTCTCTGGAGACAGCTCCTGGAAGACATGTTTGTAGGACATATGGAGATTAACAGACAGCACACACATCAATTGTAAACTGATACCAGTGTCTAGCCTCTATTGTACCATGGGGATTCCGATATGTCCACAAATGATGGTTGTGTAAATTTTTTATCAGATTTCTTCCAAGTGTAAACAAGATTGAAATGACAAACAACGGATTGGCAGTTTGTGCAATAAACCATCGGAAAAAAGCTCTTTTGTGGTTAGAGATCAGAGGTCCTAACACCCTGAACACGCTGAAAATGATACGGATACAGGAGATGCTTTTGAAGTACTATCGGTTGTACAAAATACGAGTGTCACTTGACGTGTGTTGATACCTGGATCGTCTTTCACAGCTGATATAATATGTTCTTCGTGGTCAGACGTATACTCGTATCATGGTCTTCTTCGATCCATAGTTAGTTTTGCCACGGGTCCTGTCTCAGCAAATGTTGCATGCCTTCGGTTTGGAAACACAATTTCATACAGCCGTGCAGCATCGCGTCCATTACCATTCGCGCGGGCGCATATAAAGATCATATCTGCATACTCCCGATATGAATATCCTGCCATTGTTAAACGGAACACTCACTATAACACACGTTAAACGTTGAAGACAGACGAGCCAGAAATGTACACGAATAACAAATATAACGTAATCTACATGACAACACATCTACCGTAAACTTACTTTAAAATTAATAACTCAAAAACGAAGGATTTGCGGACATATGTTTATATGGACTTTTGTCATAGTTTTGGTGAGAGTAACCCGCCCCAAAGTCTGTAAAAATATTTTTGAAACCGCATATATATTTAAGTAATTCATCGAGTCTGTATAGAAGCATCAGCAGAAATCACTAGACGGCCGTTTTGTACTATATTTGGGAGTCATCAGCGGCGCGCATCCATTACCGAGAATTGAAACCCTGACGGTTAGGTTGTCAATCAAACATCATACCGACTGTTCCAACGGGCCTCGGTGGCAAAGAGATTGCAAATCAGACTCAATATAGCGCCACTCGCTCACATATTTCGTGGTGAAAGTCTACTGAGTTCTCTCTAACCATAGGACTGTGCCCCCTGGAGTCACGGCTACTATCACCAAGCCGCTCTCTCTAGAGCATTAGAAGCCGGATCAAGCAATGATATACACATGATAGAAATTATTAGGAGGATTTGAAAATTAAATTTAAGTAATTTATCGAGTCTGAAAGAAACCTCAACAGAATGCAGAAAGCACTGGACGGCCGTTTCGTCCTATATTTGGGACTCATATATATATAAATACACAAGGCTCTTTCCCTCCCTCTCTAAGTTATTGGCGTTTCTTCACAGAATAAGTACGTAAAAATTACCGTTTTTTTTCAACCGTGCGCAGATGGCTTAGGTGGAGAATCTTCCCTGTTGCCGAATCATTCTGATTTCTAGCCTGGATTGAAGCGTGTCTGTTGTTGACAATGTATATATATTTAAAAATATTTTATCATCGCGACACGGAAATTTCTATGTTTCGGAACTGAAATTTCAAATATATTATTCCAATTTCAAGCGATTTTGAATAACTTCAGAAAAAATGATTTACTTTTGCAAGCGAAGTAGTATTATATTGAAGTGGATGAGGAAATAAAATTTCAAAATTTTCTTTGACGAATCTAAATACAGGTCAAAGCTAAAGTGGAAAAGTGAGAAAAAGTATGTTACAGGTTAGGTGTGGGTATGTAATTCATGGTCGTCTAGAATATATTTATTATCTAATCATCACACACACACACACACACACACACACACATATATATATATATATATATATATATATATATATATATATATATATAAAGAAATAATCATACATAGAATCAATCAGCAATATTAATGCGATTAATGGCGAAATCACTTCGCTAGTATAACATAATGTATGCATTAAAATACTGTTAGTCCATTGAATGATGTGATCCTCATTTATAAAACTGTCGTCAGATGTTTCTAGTGTATATTTTTTAAAATTAAGCAAGTACTTTCGGAGATACATCTCTTAATCGTCAGGCTGTAAATTTTCTTTCCTTTAAAGTTAAAACTTGAAGACGAAATAATTAATATTGCTGATTGATTCTATGTATGATTATTTCTTTATATATAAAATATATGCTGCCTAATTTAATATATATATATATATGAAATGATAGATAGATAACAAATTATAGATAGATAAATAATTATATAGATATTATAGATATATAATGAATATACTGAAATAACTGACTTGATATATATATATATATATATATATATATATATATATATAGAGAGAGAGAGAGAGAGAGATTGAAAATGAAGAAGTTGAAATCGATAAACAGATAAATAACGAACAACCTGAAATAGATAGATAGATAGATAATGAACAAAGTAAAACATAGATACATTGATACATAGCTAGATAACGAAGAAACTGAGATAGATAGATAGATAGATAGATAGATAGATAGATAGATATGAACAGACTTAGATAGATAGATATATAGATAGATAGATAGATGTGAACATACTGAAATAGATAGATATGAACAGACTGAAATAGATAGATAGATAGATAGATAGATAAGAATCGATTGAAACATAGATAAGAATAGACTGAGATAGATTGATAGATAGATATGAACAGATTGAAATAGATAGATAGATAGATAGATAGATATGAACAGACTGAAATAGATAGATAGATAGATAGATATGAACAGACTGAAATAGATAGATAGATATGAACAGACTTAGATAGATAGATAGATAGATAGATAGATAGATAGATAGATAGATAGATATGAACAGACTGAAATAGATAGATAGATATGAACAGACTTAGATAGATAGATAGATAGATAGATAGATAGATAGATAGATAGATAGATAGATAGATAGATATGAACAGACTGAAATAGATAGATATGAACAGACTGAAATAGATAGATAGATAGATAGATAGATAAATAGATAGATAGATTGAAAGATAGATAAGAATAGACTGAGATAGATAGATAGATAGATAGATAGATAGATAGATAGATAGATAGATAGATAGAGTGATGTAACAGCCTTAAAAATTTAATTAAGGTTTCTGTCTTGTGTATAGCGAATAGATTATTTAATTGTTCGGAAGAATAATACAATTGAACTGTACACAAATCTCTTTGTGACAAGTACAATGAGAAGAATTACGAGAAAACCAGTCAACAAAAAGCAACCAACCCACTTCAACCTTTTTTTCTCCAATGTTCGTGGTATCTGTTCCAAATTCTGCAGTGTAGCATCTTTTCACTTGAAAATGTAGCCGGGTATCTTTGAACTTTGGGGAACCAATTTAAATTCTTCCATTGTTACTAATGAATTCTCTGTTCTTAGCTATCTTCTTTGTCGAAAAGATTGGAACATTCACATACTATATATATATATATATATATATATATATATATATCATTCCCTTGGTGTTTGTAATCGTAGGGTGGATCCGAATGCACACTAACTCTTTTCCACAACGGTCTATCATCGGCCGCCATCAGCAATTATGTTAGTTATACCTGTCCATCGTTTGACATTGACCAACTAGTTTTTGCGTTGGCGTCCTCTCCTACGACCACCTTCAATGATGGCCAAGTTTTGTTACGGTTGCTCAATGTATGGCTATTTTAGAGGGTGTGCCGGACGAACGGACAGACGTACTGATTACCAGAAGTCAGAGTATGTTATATACTAGAGTCATAATACTAGAAGATCATTTATACCAAATAAAACTTATAAAGGTCTTCGTTCTTGATTCGATAAGGAAAGAAAGAGAGACTATATTGTTATAATTATTCTATTTTATTAATTCCGCCACGTAACTTTTATTATAGTATCTATATATATATATATATAATAGATTAATGGGTAGGGTCCTCACTAGGTGCACCATTCTTTTAGTCTTGTGCTAAATCTGATCTTCGCTTTGTAAATCACTATAATAGGTAAGCGTACTAAAATACTGATCATATTTGTTTTTGGAGTATCAGACTATGGGTTACATCATATTTTTAATCCATGAATAAATTCAAAAGGATATAGGTCACATAAACATATATTTAATTAAGACAATAGATTATTTATTTAAGTAAATTAATATTTTATTAATTCCCACGTTAAATAAGTGATTCTCGATACTTCGTAAGATTTATCAATCTATCAAATTGATTTTGTTAACGTTTCTACTGTTTCAAACTTAACGATTAGTGAGTCTGTAGTGGCTTTCTTATCGGCGCTTTGATGTGGCACAAGGCCTAAAGTATCAGGCACTCAGTGAGGACTGGATTCAGTATTCCGTAGTAATCAATCTCGCGAGACAAGCTTGCTAACTATTACATCACGCTGCCTTACTTTCGGCCTTGTGTCATATCCAAGCTAGGCTTGAAAATCACCATTATACCACGCTGAAGAGCCCGATTAGCATCTCTATGGAACCATTTGTTAAGTATTTCTTCGATCCCGCGTCAGACAGATTTAACTCGATTTTAATGAACGACCGAATTCTTTTTTTTTATTAGTGAGTCTATGGAACCATTTGTTAAGTTCTTCATTGATTCCGTGTTATACTGATTTAAATCATTTTTAGCATTAGGGGATATACAAATCTCCGCTACCCACCCCAAAAAAACAAACAAAACAAAACCATAAAACTACCTGCATAACAAATAACATGTTTTGGATATATTGCAAACAACCATATAATTCTAGAAATCAACACTTTCCAACAAAAACAATTCATTTATATCGATTGATTGATTTTTTTTTACTGGTTATAAATGTTTATGGGTGATTTACGGTCGAAATATATTTTGGATTGTAAGAAAAATTATTTTTTTGTGAGTGAATATTGCATTAACAATTTATTTTTTAGAGTAGTAATCGATTTTGCAGATTCAAGTTTTACTATTTAACCCATAACCTCGGGAATAAGATAGATTCCTCATCAAGGTTATTTGCGAATGAGTGATTATAACTTTGATTCGAACTCGGCTCCCTGATTTATCATTCTGAGTCACTATCGATTACATCACCAGCCAATCCTAACCTTGAAACATATATGGGGACGTTTTTTCAGTAAGGTTCACCCTGGTACGGGCCCCACTCGAGGCAGAGGATTATTTTAAGGTGTATATTATATGGATAGGAGGGGAAGATAACGGTTGACTCTAGACTTAAACAGGTTAAGATTGTAGTGATTGGGGAAGCATCCTCTTGGGAGTCTGTTCCACAGGGTTCATGGAAAGAAGCTTTTTGAGTGGAACTTATTTCTCTCCGATGGAATACAGGGGTAATGTGGGTGGTTTACTAATATGTAAGTGGCATGGCGGGTTCTAGTCGTGAAGTTTAGACCTGGCGGAATCAAGGAATGTAGTTCTTCCGAGCACTTTCCATAGAGTAGTGAAAGCCTTCCCACATCCTGCCTGTGAGCGAGAGGCTGGAGGGTGGAAAGTAATTATTCTTCAACAAAGACTCGGAGACGCTTTTGAACTGTATTAAGTCAGGAAAGTGAGGACAGGGCTGCTCTTGTCTAAATATGGACATTTTTGGACCTGATCTAGCTCTTATAAAGGTAGAGTATATCATGAGGAGTCAGGTACTTACTGGAACTCTACATCAATTTTTTTTGTTTTTTTTAGATCTCCCCCCCCCCAATCAAGGCGGGAGTGCCAGTAACACGCAAGGGGTGACAGAGAGTGGGAGCAAGAGGAAAGAGGCGTGATAGACGAAAGGACGAAGAGAAGGACGGGGAATAGATCAAGGCATCTAGAGATGTCGATTGATATTGCATTTGAATAATTGAAGATTATAGCTATCAGGGAAGCAAGTAAGAGGAAGGGAGTTCCACAGACCGGAAGTGCGAGACATGAAGCTATTGGAGTAGAAAAGATGGCTACATTTAACCGTTTCGACAGTGAGAGTGTGGGACTGAGATGCCAACCTAGTAGCACGCTTAAATTCATGCAGTTTGGGAACCAGCGAAAGTAGCTCGTCGGAGCAGTTACCGCGAAAGTATTTGTAGAAAAGACAGAGGGAGGCGACGCCACGTCTGTGAGAGAGCGACTGTAAACCAGATGTATAGAATATTTTGCAGACGTCCCTAAATTTCATACAATATTCCTGTATCTATATCTCTGAGATGAGGTATTATGATTATTGACTGTTATCCTCATATTCACTGCCATATTCAAAACGTTTTGGCTGTTGTACGCTCCGGCATTCTTCAGGACACATATCCCAGTGGATAAAGACGTTGGTTAGATCCAGTGACTAGTCCCAAAGAATTGTGAGTTCAATACCACGCCACAGCAGTGATGAACAAAATCTTTGAGAGTTGATTTAAAGGGAAATAACTGAGACACCCGGAAGAGGCATGGAACGTGGAACTAGAATAATCTATCCCTGTAGACGAAATAAAGAGTTCAGTTCGAAATTCCAATCACCTGAAGAAGGCCGAAGCGTACAACGGCCGACATATTGTGAATATGGGAATGGATATAAAGATCATAGTATGAATAATGTAAATAATACAAGGCAATTCTGTTATAAACCACTCTGAAACATATTTTGATAGATATACCAACGCAACTACACCAGCACGCGTAGAATACCTGCCATGTTGTGTAGCCACCGTTAATTCGGAGGACTGAGAGACAAGTTTCTTATTTATTGTTATTTCAGTTGACATGTAAGCATCAATGATTTCGATAAGATAATGGTACATATGTATGTATTTAATATATTGATTCGTGGAAGACGTTGCACAAGACTTTTGACCCACATTTGCGCAAAGAAACTGGAAGAGAGCTAATCCGAATTCCGGATTATCCGGGCGAAATTTCAATGTCCCGTGAATATATAATGTTACGACGTAGTCCCGAGTAGGAATCTGTGACACGTGATGGGGAGTTCATTCGTTCATTGTTGTCTCGATATATGTAAATAGCGTGACCGAGTGGATAGGCTATTGTAAATTAACATCAAGCAGAATTTTTATCACTCAGAGAGAGAGAGAGAGAGAGAGAGAGAGAGAGAGAGAGAGAGAGAGAGAGAGTTGTTAATTCTAGGAGAAAGCGCTTCAGTGGCTGCTTTTATCCTTGGACCCTGTGTAAAATGAATGCTGCAGCACGCTGACAATGTTTCACGTCTTTTAAATGTTTTTTTTTTCTTCATTCGGTGCTGGGCCTTTTTGTCTTTTCACCTGTTTTCACCCTCATATATATCTGTGTATTTAGGCAGAAATTCTTCTTTCACGCACATTTCATTGAATACGTCAGAAAATGTTCTTTTTGTCCGAGCGCTTTCGGCTATACATTTAGGTATTTTCAAGGATTAAATATTTTAACTGTTAAATAAAAAATAGTTTGTTGCATGTATATGTTGTCTGTCGTATTCAATGAAATGTGCATATATATATATATATATATATAAACCTAGTGAGCCAGACAAACCTACCTAGGTTTCACATAAGCGGTCGTCAGGGAAAGCTTTCCCTGACGATCCGCTTAGGTGATACCTGTCTGGCTCACAAGGTTTATCTAGGTCAGCTCTACGGTTGTATTGAGGTCTTTTGTTAGTTGTGTACTCGTATCGGGGTTTTTTCTTTGGCCTTCAAACCTGTATCTGTAAGAATTTTTTTCGACGGATTTTCATGTTTCTAGCTCTTTCTTTTTTTAAAACCTTTTTCCCTCGAGACTGATTTGATTATTGGCAAATCAAAAATTCGAGGGTTTTTCGAAACGAATATAGTTACCTATATATATATATATATATATATATATATATATAGCTTAAGGTTGTCCGTCATTGATGACGACAACGCTGTCCTCCCATCCCATCTCCGTTCGTCTTCTGTGTGCTGTCAAGTGAGATAGCACCCCGATCGCGAGCGACAAGTCCCCGGGCATAGGTGGCATGGTAACATGCCTCGAAGTGCGCCACTCCGGCGACGCAGAGAGACCGCCACCCGCCTCTCTAATTGCGTCGGGTCAATGTTGCAAGGGATAAGAACACGGATAAGGGATAGTATCAGAGTTGTTTCTTTAGGCCTCCACGTGGTCGGCGGCCGGTTTTGAGTTCTCTCTCTCTCTCTCTCTATATATATATATATATAATTGTGTGTGTGCGCCTGCGTGTGCGTGTGTAAAGATGATGAGCGTCTGTTCTCTGTGACTTCCACAGGTTAGAATGAAAGAAAAGCGAAACTGTATGTGCGGAAAAAATGTGTTTAGATATATGTGGATAAGTGGGGACCATAATTCAAATTAAATTAAACTACCATATCACATCCAATGTCCAGACTGAAGAAAATGCCTCTCCGACTGTTTGATATATATATATATATATATATATTTTTTTTTAAGCATTTCACCCCAAGCAAGGCGGGAAGTCACTAGGACGCAAGGGGTTACAGAAAATTTAGAGCAAGATCAGATAGGATTGATAGAAGAAAGGATCGACATTACACTTGAATAGCTGGAGATTATAGCTCACAGGGAAACAGGAGAGAAGGGAAGGGAGTTCCACAGGCGAGAAGTGCGAGACATGAATCTATTAGAGTAGAAGAGACGGCTACATTTTATATATATATATATATATATATATATATATATATATATATATATATATATATATATATTAGTTCCGTTTGGTTTCTTTGTATGTATATACTTGTATACACGTGCATACATATTTTCAGAGATCCCAAATTTCTTCCTCGCAATAAGTTTTGTCTTTTATTCTAACCTGAGAAAGCCGTCGTTTATAATTTTTTCAATTTCCAAGTGCATTTAGTCAGCAAGAAACTTTTTATAAAGATTTTTTTAAAGTATATTGATAAATCTCTCCATCGAATTTTTAAAAATTCCCGAGTCTAATGTAATTTTGTTTTGTTCAAGGATTTTGTTTTGTCTGTTTATGAAACTGAAGTTTTACCTGTTAAATTTTTTCCTTAAATAATATTTGAAAATAAAAATAAATTTAAAAAGTGCGATCAGGTAATATACATATTTATGTTTAACATGAAAAAATAATTTTATATACTGTAAGTAATTCTAATACATTTACTTGTTTTTTTTTTAAAAAAAAAACAGTCTATTAAAATAACAATGAAAATATTTTAAAGTTGTATTTAAAATTGTAGTTAAAACGAATTATAACCTAAACATCTTTTAAAATTTTAGTAAAATAAAACGTATTCTAACCTAAACACCTCTCAAAAAGTACTACCGGCACTTAAATGAATCCAATAAAACACCTACTGAAAAATGAAATTATGACGAAAAGGTAGAAGATGTAGGTCATTGAATAACCCATGTCCTTTGTACATACATGTGAAACTATATATTTCTAAGTTTATTTATAAAAAAAAAATAAATAAAGATAAATCAGAGAAATGAATTAGCTATTTTTACCGTAATATTTAAATATAAAATTTTTAAAAATCGTAATATACATATATTTGATATGGAAAAATAATTTTACTTACTGTAAGTGATTCTAATACATTTACTTCTATTAAAAGAAATATAGTCTATTAAAACTAACAATGAAAATATTTTAAAGTTGTAATTAAAATTATAGTTAAATAAAATGAATTTTAACTTTAACTTCTTTTAAATTGTAATTAAACAAAACTTTTTCTAACCTAAAGTCCTCCCTCTTAGCACTATACGCAATTAAAAGAATCCAATAAAACACCTACAGTAAAATGAAATTAATATGTAATGCTAGAAGATGTAAGCTTTTGAATGACCCATGTCCTTTGTACTTACATGAGAAACAATATATTACTAGGTTTATATAAAAAAATGTTTACTAAATCAGTGAAATTAAGTAGCTATTTTTGCCGTCATTGTCATAAATTTTACTGAAATAATATTTAAATATATATAAAACTTTTAAAAAAATTTGTAACGTAATAATTTACATACTTATACTTGATGTGAAAATAATTCTACATACTGTAAGGGATTCTAATTACATTTAATTGTTCTTAAAAGAAATATAGTATATTAAAAATTACAAATTAAAAGTGAAAATATTTCAAACCGTAGTTAAATCGTATTCTAACCTAAACACCACCCACAAAAAATCTTTAAATATACAAATAGAAAAAAAATGCCGTAAGAATTTTTGCCGTTAACAATAAAATTAAAAAAAAAATCCAGACGACATGCATTTAACGGATGTCAGATTTCATTGAAAAATACATCCCTACCCCCTACCAAAACGTAACTAATAACTGATACATCAAAACACAGACATAATGAACACGCAGACACCCCCTTGTCTAGTGGAAGCGGATTTATCTGTAACCTTGGAAACGTGAATTATGATTTTAGCTGTGTCTTTAAAACCCAGTAATTTTAAAAGTTACTCCAAAATTCGCTTGAGGATGAAATGGAAGTAATGTCTTTAATTTAGTTACAAAATTAAATTCGGGGCTTTCAGCTTCCATTTTTGAAACATGGTTAGAACTGTGTAGCGAAAAAACATATTTTAAATCAATTAATTTATAATATTATATATATATATAGCGCTGTTCGATTAAAGTGACTCACCTGATTTTTTTACTAAAAGTATTTTTTGTCTATTTTTTGGTGGGTTAAAATAATTTTTTAATCTTACTAATATAAAGACCCCTTTTCGACCACCTAGGAAAAAGTTTATTCACCCTAAGGTATTCTATTGATAATTATAAATTTGGATATAAATGAGATACAGGAAAAAACTCTGAGCAAATAAGTGACTCAGATATCGCACTCTAATGATTAAACTGGTAAATTTAAAGAGCTTTTGACAAAATATTGAAAACTATTTTACAATACCCTCAGAAAAATATTCTAGATAATTCTAGAACAGCTTAAATTAAATCTAGAGTATTCCAGAATATTCCCGAAAGCCTCATACAGTATAAAAACAGCTTGAAAAAGCCACTCAAGTCACTAACCAGATGAAGGGTACAAACACGCATCAGAACCACTTAAGGCATCTATTATTACCCTCTCATAAGCAGGCAAGTCGAGGAGAGAAATTGCAGAAATTGCTATAACCTTGCAATCAACTGTCTCTTGAGTGCTTAGGACACATAATGATGCCACTCCTGCTCCAAGGAAGGAAACAAGGGGACAAAAGAAAAAGATTGATGATAGAACTGGCAGGGTAATCAAGAGAGATGTTGTGAAGAATAGGACTATAACTAGCCAAGAAATTGCAGCCAGTCTAAGCGAAGAGCAAGGTGTTAGTCTTGCCTCTTCAACACTCTGTCGGTGGCTGTTAGAACAAGGCTACAAATCTTGTACACGAAGGTTTAAGCCACTAATAAGCAAAGCCATCAAAGCCAAGAGACTTGAAATGCCTCAATATTACAAAAAATTCACTGTAGAAGACTGGAAGAATGTTCTCTTCTCCGATGAAACGAAAGCTGAGCCAGTTAGAGTTAGAGAGCCAGGCGGAATATATAGTCAAAATAATAATAACAATAAACGGTATTCCCCAACCCTATTGGTTGGTTGTTTGTTTTTTTTTGTTTGGTCACGTGGTTATGGTTTTTGTTTATTAACTATATATTCTGTTCTCTTTTTTACCTTGTTAGCCAGCCTTCCCTGACGATCCGCTTGGATGAAACCTTGGTAGGTTTATCTGGCTCTCTAGGTTTAACTAGGTCTGCTCTACTCATTGTATTGAGCACCTTATTTAGTTGTTTTGGGTACTCGCATCGAGTTTTTTTCTTTGGGCCTTGAACTCATATGCTGGACGATTATTTTCGCTTAACGTACATATTCTTGGTTCTTTCTTCTTTTCATACCTTTTTTTCCCTTTGGTGTTGGCTTCCTAGGTACCGACAGCCAGGCAGTTAAACATATGATTTGATTATAGTGGTGAAGGTTTTGTGCAGAACCAATTACACTTTTTGAAGAGCCAAACACAGAGATCTGTTGCACCATGTGCCATAATGTCACCAAACGTTCCTCCGCAATTTTTGAATTCAGATTTGTTTTTCTCCTAGAACAGTTGACATCCAAGTCTGTACAGCTAATTACCCATAGCTGGGAGGTATGG